ATAATTGGAAAGGAGACGGGAATCTTGTTGTGTATTTTTGAGGATCATGACCACCTCGGAAAACAGCGCAGGATAGCCAACCATTCCCCATGCCCACGCTCGATTTCACAAGGAGGAGCTGGTGCTGGTTGTGGAAGTGGTGGTAATTGGCCTTGGAATTGGAATGGGGGGCTCAAAAATGTGTATCCTATGTGGACCCAGAACGATACCTTAAACGTAACTAGAACGATACCCTGAACGATACCCCTTGTGTGGCTGAAACAAGGAGCCCACGTAAGCTTCCAGCAGGCTTTCCATGTTGACGCTCAATTTCACAAGCACTCGTTCGAGACACACAAACCTGGCATCATTGTGTTTGAGCGGAATCCCCAAGTGCACGCTGGATCGATGCGATTCCACAAGCACCCATTCGAGACACACCAGCCGTATCACGGCACATCAAAACCAGCCATTCCCCATGTAGACGCTGGATTTCGCAAGCATCAACTCGAGACACAAGTGGCTTCACAACAAAACAAAACTAGCCATTACCAATGTAGGCGCGCAATTCCACATGTGCACTCGCTCGAGGCACACATATAGGTGCACGCTGGATCGATGCGACTAACCACAACCTTAAGGACGAAAAGAATCTTAAAACTAGGGGCCCTATACCCTTATGCTATGAATCCCTGTATGGTATATGAACCGTAAGCCTTGTAGTGCTCTTTTCGTCCTTAATTAAGGAACGCGATGCGACTTAACCCCTGGACCCGGTAACTCGGAAGAGGGTCGATCCGAAGTGTCGTGTGGTTTCTGCCCGCCACGTGCGTCGCGAAGGTGGCCACAGCGACGTAGAAGCAGAGAAAGGGGCGACCTCTGAAGAGGATAGTCATGGGCCATAGGGTCTAGGGTTGAGGCTTGGGAGTTTAAGGGTTGAGGGTTTAGGGGTTTAGGGTTTAGGGTTTAGGGTTTAGGGTTTAGGGCTGAGGGTTTAGGGGTTTAGGGTTTAGGGTTTCTTCGTTTTGTTTAGCATGCTAGCTCACATGTTAGAAAAACTATCTCTGTGGGTGTGGGGTTTGAATTTGGCCAATCGAACTTAGGACTTCTGCCGAGGACTGAACGTGTGTAGTGCGAGTACACCCAGAGGACCCCTCAAACAGATGCTCACAGATATTCCTCTCCCTAAACCCTAAACCCTAAGCCCTAAAACCTTCTCTGGAGCACCTTCGACCCTGACGTAAACCCTACCGTAATGTATGTAGATGTCATATTTTTGGCTTTGAAGCGGTCCCGATGTAGGTACCTTTGGGGTCAAAGTGCGTACCAGGATATGGATCCTCAGGTTCTGCAATCCTTGTTAAGAATGTTTAGGGTTTAAGGTTTAGGGTTTAGGGTTTAAGGTTTAGGGTTTAGGGTTTAAGGTTTAGGGTTTAGGGTTTAAGGTTTAGGGCTTAGGGTTTAAGGTGATTTCGGCTCAGAACAGGTTGCTGCGTGTGGTGGCGTGGCATGTCATTCGGCTCAAAACATGCTGCTGCGCGTGGTCGTGTGGAATTTCATTGCCTTAAGGACGAAAAGAACCTTAAAAGTAGGGGCCCTATACTCTTATGCTATGAATCCCTATATGGTATATGAACCTTAAGCCCTTTTAGGGCTCTTTTCGTCCTTAAGGTGAGGCACAAGTCCGACGGTCATGTGGAGCCGTCATCTCCAAAACCATGCATCACAAGTTGTCTTAACCTACAATAGGGGCCTTTATAATTCGAACGGGGTTGTGGGCTCCTGTCTAGTAAAATTATACTACGGAACCCCCAAAATAGTATAGGTAATTATCCAGCCTCCTAGTAGTGTATTTCTATGATGTTTTTGAGGTTATGCAGCACTGTATGTGAGTTTTTCGACAGGGCACACGGAAGCCCTAAACCCTCAACTCTAAACCCCTTAAGCCTAAACCCCGAGTGCTTAGTAACTTTAGTGATGAAAGCTCGAGATTGTCATCCGCAAGCCTCTCCTTTAAGGGCCTTGCTCTTGGGATCCCGTTTAGGGTTTAGGGTTTAGGGGGAGGCAGGTTACTGTTCAGGGATGTACATGATGGTTCGAGCTTTGCAAGGACATCCGTCGGAGCTGCCTGCACCAGCTGGCGAGGGCATCTGCCATGTGGCACATGAAGGCAATGCCAATAAGGTCCTGTGGAATGGATTTGCATTTTCGGGATGCCCTGAACCCAAAACCCTAAATCCCTAAACCCTAAAACCTCAAACCCTAAACCCTAAATCGTAAACCCCAAACCCTAAACCCCTATAAACGCTCTAAACCCTAAATCCTAAGCCCTAAAACCCTAAACCCCAAACCCTAAATCCTGAACCCTAAATCCTAAACCCGAAACCCTTATAAATCCTCTGAGCCCTAAACCCCTCTAAGCCCTAAACCCTAAAGCGCGGGATGCTGTTCGAGATGGAAGTGGGAGAGGTGGAGCTTGAATCAAGCGAACCCCACGTCCCACCCCTAAAACCTCAATCCTTAAGCTCTCAACCCCAAGCCCTAATTACGGTTTAGGGTTTAAGGTAAGGGGCCTGAACAATTGCCTATACCATTATGGGGGCTCCTTACTATAATTATAGTAACATTGCCCCAAGACCCTGTTCTAATTATTGAGGCCCCTACAATAGACCCTTAGACTTAGAGGGGGGCCCCTGGCACAACTCCTGGCCATGGCGGGTCCAGAAATCCGAGACATCGATGTGCAGATCTGGCAGCCGCCGAACCAGCTCCGCCTGAAGTGGGGGGGCGAAGGCTTCGTAGTTCCGAGCTTGGTTTGGATTTAAGGAGTCTACTTGGAGGGTCGGGGGACTTAGTAAGTAGATATGAAGTAGAGTTCTAAGTACCCTGAAAGGGATCCTAATTGGGGCTATGAGACTTGTAAGTCAAGAAATTTACTGAGTCCCCTGACCCTCCAAGTTGGGTTTAGGGACCTAGAACCCTCAGCAATCCCCAACAGTAAACCTACGCCACCATGGTTTCGAGCAACGGTCAGAGATGCCACAACCCAAGATCACGCATGTTCGATAAGTTGTCGCCCGTCTAAGAAAGCATGCTTAAGTCCAGGGTTTCGGGTTTAGGTTGTCGGGCTCAGGTTCTACGGGTCGGAGTTCAAAACACAGATCCCCACAGTACAAGCGCGAGCTGTCCTAACTTCAGGCCTGTTCCTAAGTACGTGGAACCTCGGCAAGGGACATACTATCATTTTCACCAGAAATGACAGTGAGCTCCATTAGACAACGCGGAAAACGGACAGCATCCTCAACCTACGAGTGCCGCTAATTTCACCCCACCATCCAAGCTCTTCGGGATGAGCAATCGCAGAACTCGGTTTAGGGTTTGGGGATAATGGCGTTCGGGCGCTTGGTGCAGGTTGAACTATCGCAATATCATCAGGACCCTTGTACGGGTGGGGGTGGGGGGGGGGGGGGCCTTAATACCCCAAATCAGGGTCCAATAAGGCCTACTTCAGGAAGTATGATCCCCCTCCACCTGGCGCCCTATGACAATAAGAAGAGCATGGCAACGTCAAGTAGGCCTCTTCAAGAAGCACACCCTCCTAGTCTGCTAACCATAGAAGCGTGTGCTAGACCCTAAACCCCTAAAGCCCTACCCCGAAACCCCGACCCAAACCCTAAACCCTAAACCCTAAACCCTAGACCCTAAACCCGAAAACCCCAAATTACACCAAACCTCGGACCTGTATTGCCAGCCATGTCTGCGAAGATGGATCTGTCGCTTCCACGCCTGAGAGCGGTTTAGGGTTTAGGGCCTGGGGGATTCGGACTTGAGGTTTGTTGTTTTTAAGTGCGCCCAGAAAAGCCCGAGATTTGAGGAATATACCTTAACTTACGAGGGGCTTCATATTACGAGTTAAGCTATATTCCTTAATCAGGGGGTACTGGGCTCTCGGAGCAGTGGCCTTTCTCTGCTTTAGACACAGGTCACAAGCCTGCCTTTAGAGGCACGCACTGAGGTTTCGAGGTTTAGGGTTTAAGGT